CCACTGCACTCCAGTCTGGGCGATAGAGTGAGACTCCAACTCAAAAAAAAAAAAAAAAAGACCACAAATCTGCCCTGGAACCAGGAAGACATTCTGGGACCCAGCAGCCACAGCCTTTGACGTGAGGTGGAAACAGATCCCAAGCAGCAGTCGGGAACAGTGACCATTTGGGGCCGAAAAATCATAACACCCTCATGCCCCTGCCTTCATGGCATTTGAAAGCTTGGGCAGATATGGGCAGGACCTGAGTTAATCAGCTCCTGAGACTGGGAGCTACCAGGAATGGTCTCAGATGATTTTAGGAAAGGAAACCGAAGCCACTAGTCTTTATAAAAACTGAGCTTAGGGGAAATCTAATCTCCACAGGTAGTGGAATCTGGTGCTCTAATTAGAAGCTGAGTTGAGTTTTATATCCTTGGTAGTTTTAAAGTCTCCAACTGAAGTTATCGTTCAGCCTCTAGACTCAGGAAAGGAAAATCTCCAGGTTCTTCAGTTTTCTTTTGTTTAAAGTTGATTCTCTTAAAGTTAATTAGTCAAGAAGCAAACAAGATTATTAATTAAATACCTTTGTGAAACAGCATGATATAAGCATTGTGCTGGATGACTCATGGCTCTTGCTTGAATGATTAGTCTCACAGATATTTTAAAGAGAATAAAATGTGCCATGTCCTGATATCATCTCTATTTGATCTGGTGCAGCCTGCCTTGGATCCTGTACTTAACAAGGGAACAAGGAAAGGTCGTTATTAGCATCTTAAATAACAAACACCAAGCAACTCTTTAGCCTTTTCTAAAACAGGGCCAAAAAGAGCTGATTCATCTCCTCCTTATCTGCCTAAACACTGAGAAGTACCATATAAAATGGCCACGAAGAACTAGAACCCAGAGGGATAAGATAATATCCTTGTGCCTAAATATTTTTTTCCCCAATCCAGTCTTATTTGTCCTGCACTTACAAGGTTTGAAGAAATGGGGGGATGTGAAGAAAAAAGACTAAAGGGGAAACATTAATTCCAAAGGCATTTAGATGGGGGTCATGCTGTTCTTATTGCCAGAAATAACCTGTTCTGTGCTGTGTGTGCAACAAATTCTTTTCAGGCTGGATCTAGTATATCAGGTTCCTTATGGATATGGTAAACAGAAAAGCACTCAGTTCTATTTTAGGGGTAGGTTAAGAGCAATGATACTTAGATGGTTTCTGCAACTGGCACATGTATTCCTCATCAAAATCTGCATGGGAATAAGAGAAAAGTGCTCTGCATATGATTCAGACAATCACAGGCCAGAAAATCTTCTTGAAAGAGGCTTCCTCTTTCAGTCCAGATATGTAATTTATTCCTGTGTCTACAGATTATTTTTCCCATGAAGGTTTGGTTAGGATTGAGGTTAAGGAAATAAGCTTTCTTGCAGCATCCAGCCCAGTTTGCCTAGATTTATTCTACAAATGGATTTGTTGAGATAAAAAAGGAATAAAATCACTTCCCTTCTTTCTACAGCTGTAGTTCTAGTAATTATGCTACATAGGGCATTCCATAGTTTTCCTTAATCACTCGAAGAAAATTTGGTTATTTTGATTCTCAGTTATGGGTTATCGTTGTCTTGATGTACCATTTCCTCTTTCTAGTGAATATCTAGCCCTTCAACTTGTTTCTATTTTATTAGGAAATAATACTTCTATTATAACATCAGGAAGGGGTGGAGTGATATCACACATGCATTTAATGACCTTGTGGCTTTAGCATCGAATCCAATAAAGATGAGACCAATGTCCAAGGATATGAGAGTGGCATCTGTTCCATGGGGCCACAGGAGGAAAGACGCACATGGGATGAATGACAGGAAGCAGGTGGTCATCTCCTTCTCAGTGACTTTTTAAAGCTGTGTTCAATCAAGGGTTAGAATAACAGCCAGCAAGTATTTTCTGAGTATTGATATGTCCACCATCATGCCTAGTTACTTTAAGATATTTTTCTTCTTTAGTGTATTAAGGTTAAAATGGCTTAATATTAGAACAGAGTGGAATTAAACTTATAGGCAAGAAAAAGCACTTTGGAATTTTCCATCCTTTCCCCGTTCTCACTGAACACTTGAGAATTACCTTAAAGGAAGAAAGGAGAGAATACCCTGACATTTATGTGTCAACATTGCCTTTATTTCTTCCTTTAATGTGGCTTATGAGTTCTCAATTCTAAATGTGAATATGTGTTACTATAAGCACTAATTCATGTGTATCGAACTTTAAGGGTGATTTAAGTGAACTCAAAGTAATTTCGAGTAGGTCAGATTTTTGTTTTAAGTATTGACTTTAACCCTCAGATAACTAAAAACTAAGCTTTATTCAAAATAAGCAATAAAAAATTTTAAATAGAAAACAAAATCCAGGAACAGCCGTTATTTCCATGGAATGCTTCAATAAATTATGGAAAGAACAAGAGTCATCAAATCATCCTTCTTTCTCACATCAGCATCTTGTTGATTTGACTCCATTGCCAGCTGCAGGGAAGGAAAAGAATCAGATAAGGAAGAGTTCTTCAGGTTCAAACTTTCTTTAATAAAATTGTCTTTCTTTTATAGTCCTATACTATAAGAAATCTCTCAGCCTTTCTCTGTATCTTTTCTAGCCTATAAGAAGGAAAGGCAGACACTTATTTATAAAAAGTAAGTTTTAAAATCCCATTCTTTCCACCCAGGATTACAGTCTTCTCGGAACTAGCCCTTCTTTCTTAAGCCTTCCATGGTAATCCTTTGCTGCATGGCACCATAGCTCAGGGTTTAAGAACAGGGACTTCAGGGCCAGACAAATTGGGTATAAATCCAACATCTGCCACTTATTAGAAGTGTCACTTTGTGCAATTTACTTAACCTCTCAGTGACTCACCTCTCCCAGTCATGCAACGGGGATAATTTTTCCCTCCCTTCCAGGGCTGTTAAGGACAATGTGCCTGGAACTCAGCAGGCATTCGATAATATTTGTTCACTGAATAAGTAGTAATTGTGCAACACATGATATAGAAGCAAACATGTAGTCAGTTCTCATAAAACTATAGTTATTTTTATTACTTCCTCTCAGTTGCTAAATAAATGAGAATAATTTTGTTTTCAACATTCTAAGTAAACAGAGAGAGTAGATTTGGGAGAACAGAACGAACACATATTCAGCCTCTCTTCATTTGACTTAACTTGTAAGTAACAAGATGGTGTTTGAAAGATTTCTTTCGTAAAGTCCAGTTTCATCGGCTTCCAATCTGCCACTAAAGCTTATTCCCTAAGATGGTCACCGGGTCCAGGGACATGAGTGTATCTGCACACCCCCATGCTGTAGCCTCTGCATTTGGCTTGAACTATGTTGTCTCAGCATCAACTCAGCCTTGCTACTCTGGCCTCCCTTAGGTCTCAGTGGTACTGGACTCATGAGCCCTTCTGTTTTCACTGGTCACAGTCTTGGGTCCTCCCCTAGGGTTTTCTGTGGGGTCTTTCTGTCACACTAGTCAGCCTCTGACAAGCTCACTGGCTTCCAACTAAGTAGCCTATGAAGGCTAGACTTCCAGGCCCCTACCTGACTATGAACCACTGCCAAGCTTACTACAACAGGACTTGTCTCCAGACACTTAAGGAACATCCCACAAATTAGCTTCTTCCTGGTAGTGCCAGAGGGCAATATGGCAAGAGCTAACTTGACTCTCAGCTTCTCTTCAATTTACTTAACTCATCTGTTGTCTAGGTCTAAGGTTCTAGAGTGCTGTCCTATAGGTCTTTGAACTGAATGATCGAACTCAGAGATGAGACATCAGTAGACCTTCAAAGACCACTACACTCTGGTTTCTCTCTTTTTCCTCATACCACCATGGTTCTCTATTATTACCTTTATATTGTGTACTCCTCCATCTTTTATTTTTATTTTTATTTATTTTTTAATTTTTTATTGTTTTTAAGTTGGAGTCTCACTCTGTCGCCCAGACTGGAGTGTAGTTGCCGCTCCCGGCCACCGCAGCCTTGACCTGCTGGGCTCCAGCGATCCTTCCGCCTCAGCCTTCCGAGTAGCCAGAATTACAGGCATGCGCTACCACCCCCGGCTGATTTTTTGATTTATTGTAGAGATGACGTCTCGCTGCCCAGGTGGGTCTCGAACCTGCGGGCTCAGGCAATCCACTCACCTCAGCCTCCAGGCTAAGCCACCAAGCCCGGCTACTCCATCTTAAGGCCAACTAAATGTTAATGGCCCAATAGGTAGCTCCTCTCTATTTTATGTTAATTCTATAAGCTTAATCTTGCATGGTGGGTTGTCGATCTGATAATAAATGAGGAAAATAAAAGAGTTTAAAAATCTTCTTTCAAGACAATCTCTTGGTTTGTAAGGCTATGTTTTTTTCTGCATAATCCTATTTTGCATGTCAGAAGCTAAATATTACTTTGGTCTTTGCACTGATTCAAATTCTAATCTCCTCTGAAGACAAATGGATACCTTGGATGGAGTAGGCTGAAGGTCTTGTATCTGAAAAAACAAGGGAGAAAAACACATTGGCAATTTCTTGAATATTTTCCTACAGTGTTCCAAGTTCAAAGAGAAATTTATTGGGAAATTTCCTTTTAAGACTATCACAGAGACATTCAGATCATAAAAGACTGCATAATTTTTTTAAAACATAGTTCATCTATTATTTGTATACAGTACCACATGGGCAAAAAATAAACCAGATTGTACAAATTCAGTGCACTTAAAACTGTTTGTGTTGTATAGATACATTCTTAATGTAAACTATTTTGGTAATTTTATAGTGTTAGCATTTATTTATGTTGAACTAATCTGTGATCAGCTTCCTTAAATGGAGCATTAAAACTATACAGTTGTTTTCCAGGACTAAGATTGCTGTTTTTGTTATGATCACACTAGTAAATTGGCTGGCCCGGCTTAATCGCTAGTGTTTCGTGTGCACATTGATGTAGATTTTAAGCTAGAAAAGCAGAAAATGAAAGTATGTTTTCTTTGGCAGGCATTTGATGTACTTGGAAGAGTTGAAGCTTACCTTAAGCTCCTTAAATCAGAGGGTTTAAGTCTTCCTGTCTTGGCAGCGAGGCATGAGAAATTACACAGTGAAATTAAAGACTGCACAGCTGATGCTTTGCAAAAGGGACAAACCTTAATCAGCCAAGTAGACTCCTGCAGGTGAGTAAAGTCTATTTCTTCTTCAGTGTAACAAGTTTTTTTACAGTTTCCACAATCTGTTAAAAATTAAGTTACATGATTTTTTTTCTGCTTCTGATGTTTTGCCGCATTATGATATGGCTTTAAAGGATCCATTGAACTTTGGTCAACAGCAATTCTGAACATGTTGCTTGTTCACAAGTGAGACCATATTCTGAGTTTGAAGACTTAAAGATGCCAAAGTGTTCTCTTTACTTGTTTCTGAAAAGGGGAGAGGAAGTGGATAAAATATGAAGCAGAGCTTTAGTTCTTAAGGCTTTTGGTACCACAGCATCTTCATGGAGTGACTTTCTCCCTTTAGTTTATGAGCCTTGAGTCTCTCCTGTCCCCCCCTTTTCCCCCCCTTTCTGGAAAAAAATAAAACACCAGAATTTTCTTCTGGTTATTACCTTGGTGGCTCACTATATAAAATCCCAAGTTAAAGGTGACAATTTGAACATAGCTAAGGGCCCATGCTCTTAAACAGTGTGCTAGAAGTGTCTTTTTTTTTTGAGTTGGAGTCTCGCTCTGTCACCCAGACTGGAGTGCAGTGACACGCTCCCGGCCACCGCAGCCTCGACCTGCTGGGCCCTGATGATCCTTCTGCCTCAGCCTTCCAAGTAGCTGGAATTACAGGTGCACGCTACCACGCCTGGCTAATTTTTTGATTTATTGTAGAGATGAGGTCTCACCAAGTTGCCCAGGCGGGTCTCGAACCGGCGGGCTCAGCCTATTCACTCACCTCGGCCACCCAAAGTGCGGGATAACAGACTGAGCCACCGAGCCCGGCCAGGAGGGTCATTTTTATGAGTACATTCAGTGTATGCATCAGAGTGAGCTTCGAGTTGGGTGGGCATGAAGAGAGAATAAGGTCCTGAGAAGCAGAAAGAGATTGCAGTAGGAAAGTATGGAAAGAACAGGGTTTGGAAGACAAAGGGGAGATGACAGCAGATAGATGGTAGAACAGATATTGACTAGGAAGAAATGAAGATTTCTTCATTTTGATTACATTTTGAAAGAGAAAGTTCAGAAAAGATTTTGCAAATAGATTAAGCCCAATTTTGTCTCCTCCGTGTCTACAATCTTAAAACTCAAAGACATTCAATTTAAAGAACAATGAAATAGGTGGAATTTGGTAAAATCACTTTATGTTAAAACTTTTGTTCTGCTCTATTTTACATATATTTAAAAGTGTTGATTTGGTGAGTTTGGATTTGGGAAGGGTTCTTTCCAAAAGACAGTCCCAATCACAAAAGAGATATTTATACACGGTTTGTGATGGTTGCTACATGCACAACTAAGACTAGAAAAAAATCTGAAGTTTTCCAGAAAGAGCCAGAAGCTGAGGCCACGACAGAGACAAATAATTCTCCCCTTGAAAAACTAACAATAACAACTGTAACTAAGAAATTTCTTTACTTATCTCCAAGTCATGCATCAAATATTGGTGGTGTCCATTTGACTTTAGGAGTTTCAACATTGTCTCTGTCTGGGCCCCAAAGTATGGGTATAGGAGCTTCTCCTTCCTCTCTCTGCTAAAGGTCAACTCTTCCAGAATGTGAAAATGTCTTGGGCCATTCAGAAGGTATCCTGTGGGGTGAAGAGGCACTTATTGTCCCTGGACTCAGGGTACATATTGCACATTGATCTGAGTCATGTGATGAATGAATTCAGTGGTAAGGTCTCCAGTCATAATTGGAAAATGGTCTGCTCAGTTTAGCACATGGGTCTCAAAGCCCAGACAGATGTTATTTCTATTGTCAGGCTACTTTATGCTTGCGGTGTGTTGGGCCTTGGGAAGTTTCCTTTCATGCATGGGGAGATCACTATGCAGACAAAGGCTCCCTTTCCTCCCTGCTACCCACCCTAGATCTCTGGAGTTCTAGGTGCCTTGATTTCCCCAAAGTCTAATCCCTGTCTTCTCCACTCAGCAAGAGCTCCAGGCTCTGTTTGGGTTCCATCTTTCTGACCTTTGGTCTAGAATACCTCCAGGCAGTAAGCTGGCGCAATCATAAGGCTCATTTCATTTGTTTTCCTTCTCTAAGGAATCACTGTCCTGTGCCACCTATTGCTCAGTGACTGAAAATCGTTTGTTCATATAGTTGTCTGTTCTTCGAGTTGTTTATAGCATAAGTGGAAATGTAATCTTTGCTTCTTGGCCAGAAACTGAAGTTCTTTATTCAGTTTTGATGCTTAACTGCAGGAGTTAAAAACGGTGGTTAAAAACTTTTTTATTGCTAAACTTTCTCCTGTTTCCTGTAATCAATAATACTTCATTTTCAATACTTAAATATAAGGGGACAACTGCTTTTACTTTATATACATTCTATGTTTGAGGTCTTATTGACTATTTTTAGCCATCTATTTTGCAATGGTTGATGTATTTATTTACTTAGTTTCATTCTTCTTGCCTCTTTTCTCCTTTCAGTATTAATTTTTACACATATGTTGTTTTTCAAAGGGCATCTACAATCCTGTATTTCAGGATACAGCTCGGTTTCAACAGAAGGAAAAAGAATTAGAGACCATTTTTTCAAACCTTGAATTAATGCCTACGTAACTAGATGTTTAAAAATTAGCAGGACATTTTCTGTCAACACCTTAGATATATAAACTTTCACAGAAGTTTCAAAGTATTTGGTTTCCCTGAGATTTCATAATATTTTATAAATCAATACTATTTCCATCTTACAAGAGGAACTAAAGATAAAGTAAAATTGTTTCTTGGCCAAGAATATTTTTTGATTCAGAAGGTAGATGTAGAATAAAAATCCATTAAAAATGGAATCGAAATGCATTAGAATGTCAGTTGCAAACTAGAGCCATACAAGGCTCCTGACCTCCATCCCATGAATCTGCTTGGGACTTCTTTCCATCTTCACCTAATAATTAATTTGCTCAATGACCTGGGTCACCATCACAGGAAAGAAGCAAGATTTAAGAGTAAGATTTCAAATTCCAGCCACTGCAGGAATAAGGGTAAAGTTTAAAATGGTGGTAAAAATGTAAATTTCACCAGAGCAAAGTACATATTGTTGAATATCACGCTGTCTTCTAAGACTTCAGAATGCCAGCCAGCCACACTACAGGGACACAAAATACAAAGATTCTTATTACCAGACATTGAAAAACTAGTATGGAGAAGAATTCTAAGACTTAATGTCAAAGGAGTTTTTAAAAATTTCATATATTCCGAGTGCCAAAACAATGCCATGACTTTTAAAATTAACTTCTCTGAGACTCATTTTCCTCTCTGTAAAATGGAGATATATATTTCAGAGTTGTTTTCTTTTTTTAATTGGATGAGACAGCACCACACCTAGGCTACATGGTATAGCCTATGGCTCCATGGCTACAAACCTGTAAGCATGCTGCTGTACTGAATACTGTAGGAAACTGGAACACAATAGTAAGTATTTGTATATCTAAACCTAGAAAAGGTACAGTAAAAATTTGGTATTATAGTCTTATGAGATCACTATCATTGACCAAAATGTTGTACAGTACATGACTATACTTCACTTCTTTTTTACTTTCTACATAAACAGCTTTAAAAACAAAATACTAAGAACCACGTGATTGTTTCAGATGATTACAGTGGAGTCAGCTATACCAAATTTACTAACTGGGAAGGTTATATTTGAAAGAGAGAAGATAAACATTTATCTTAATGTAATAAAAGGCTTAATGTAGTATTGGGGCAGGTAGGATTTTCAGAAGCCATTTGATGAGAAGTTCACATTTATCTGAGATAAAGCGTTCTCAGTAAATCTGAGATCTTTTCATTATTGTTCTGTAATTACTACCTTATGAGAAACAGACTCACACTGTTTTTCTATCCTAGAATCAAATACATTTGAAATTTGAACAGCTTCACAAAACAAATTGCGGTTATTTACGTGTTTCCTTGTCTTTTCTATTTCCTGTCTATAATCTGATGTTGATTTTGAGTCACTATTAAATAGTCTTTATCCTTTTGGAGTACAGTATTTGTCACATGACCACTTTAATTTTAAAGGCATTTTAGTGCATTCTTTGCACTTATTTCTGATGCAAGTTACCTATAAAAGTATGTGATAACTGTTGCCTTAATCGGTTTTCTACTGGAACAGAATATCTGAGACTGGGCAATTTATATAGGAAATGAGCCCACAATTCTGTAGACTGGGAGGGTCAAGATTGGGTGGCCACATCTGGTCAGCTTATTGTAAGGACCTCATGCTGCATCATAAAATAATAAAAAACCAGGAGACGAAACAGGTGTGTGGGGAAAAGGGCCAAAATATGAGAGGCAACCTCACTTTATAGCAACCTGCTCTGGTGGGAATTATTATATTCCTGAGAGAACTAACTCAATCGCCAGACAATCAGTAATCCATCTTAATGACCTAGTTACCTTTTAAAGGCACTACCTCTGTCACCCTCACATTGGGAACCCAGCCTCAATATGAGCTTTGTGGGGGACAAACCATAGCAATAGTCACACTCAGACTTACAGGAAAGTTGAAAGCCTCTGGCTTCCAGCCCTCACATCTCTTTCTAAGTATCATCTTTGAGCACCAAGTCTAAACAAAGACCAAAGGCGGCCTGTTACCAAGCAGAAGTCTTTATTTATTTATTTATTTTGAGCAGGATTTTCCCTGTCACCCAGGCTGGAGTGCAGTGGTGCAATCTCGGCTCACTGCAGCCTTTACTTGGGCTCAAGCAATCTTCCTGCCTTGGCCTCTCAAAGTGCTGGAATTATAGGCGTGAGTCACCATGTCCAGCTGATCCTGCATTTACTTTAAGCCCACAGGAAGCTGTGATGATTGAAAATGCTGGATCCAGGACCTTGTGTGACAGTAGAGATTTCCATAATCTCTACATAAATGAGAGAACTCTTTTTTTCCCTCTCTTTCAGTGAAGCCACTAATTCAGAACTCAAAAACATACAAAACCCCAGCAAGACCAGGCTTAGGAAGTATTCATTTGCTTTTCCTGTT